TAGAAAAGTAGTATTTGAGTGTGGCTTTCATCTGTATATAATAAAATTTGTTTCCTATACTTTGTTTATTTTTTTATTCCAAAACGTAATCTACTTTCTGGATAGCCCTCGTATTATTGCAGTTTTAGGTCATTAACTTTAATTTCTAATTTAAAGACATAGAACAAGGTGAAAGTTTTAAATAAGTTACAGACGAAATGATAGCGTCACGTGCAAAGCAAGGAAAATGAACGTTTATATTATAAAAAGAATATGTTGAAACGTTTTCCTTTTTTCCCCTATCTGTATTCCCTTATTTTTATCTATTTTCAGATTTTGGTAATTGTAAAATTATTATAATAAGTTAAAAAAATACCAAAACTGCTAAAATTTTTGGCGACCCCCTGCTGCGGGTCCCGCAAACCCCCTTGGGGGTCACGACACACAGTTTAAGAGACCCTGGCCTAGATGACTTTATATATATATATATATATATATATATAATTATTATTATTTTACTGCAAACTCATAAATACAACATTTATTAAAAAGAAAAAAAGATTTAAAGGATTTTGTGGTAAAATGGTATTATACGGTAGGCCTTGGTATGATTTTGAAGATTGTCACCAACACCAAAATGACACATTTATTGCTCAGCATCCTGTCATCAAATCCCATTTGTACCATATACCACGATTAAACTAATTTTGTTTTATACAAGAATAGGAAGGTTATTTTCTTCTGTTCAACAGGCACTGCACATGTGCATGCGAATCTCTCGAATTTCGAGGTTACTGGAAACCAAAAGTTGCCAGAAACTTGCTTTGCCTTTCTAAAATACAATCTGATTGGAGCTGTGAAAATTAGCTGTATGCCAGCTGCCCAAATGACGCTCAGATGATAGATAATTCGCCAAGAAAGTGATCGCTTCGAACGTTCCCATAAAAATCCCCTTTTCGAGGGATCGCCATATGAAATTCCGACTTTTCTAGATTTTGACTAAAATATTTAAATTCCCTGGCTTTTTCCCAACATTTTTTTAGTGAATTTCCGAAATCCCTGACTTTGCCAGGTTTCTCAGGTTTTCCAGGGACCATGACAACCCTGTAGGTAGCAAGCTTAAGTTCAAAATTAGTCAAACTTTTTCTATGAAACAACTCTTCATTTGTCTATGTGTTTACTTTATCAAAAAGAACAGCTTCATTAGCTTTTGCCCAGACCTGGCTGAAATACAGTTTTTTTTTTTTTTTATTTTTTTTTTATTTTTATTTTCTTTTTTTTCTTTTTTATACATATAATTGAAAAAATCTTTTACAGGTTTCATTTGAATTATTTTATTTATTTCTTTTTTAAATGTCAGAATCGAGAAACACTTTCAAAGCTACTTTAAATTGTTTGAAACTGAAACTAGAAGTCAGTGTTTAATTATAAATTGATTTAAATAGCATTAAGCTTTTATGAGGAAATTTGATATTTCTTTTGATTTTACAGCACTTAATGTTTCATGCCTTTGAAAAAATACAAGGCATTCACAGGCAGGCTTACCACATAAACAGATGAGTTTCATTCACATAACTGTAGCAGTTACTAACAGTATTAAAGCATTGTTACAAAGGTTACAGTAAAAAGAAAGTGTGTATATTCTCAGAAGTGAGTAATACAGGTTTTCCTAATTCAGTTGGAATTATTAATTCATACAAATGTGCTATGCTTTTGCATAATAAACTGTGTTAAATTTAAACTCTAGAACAGAAAAATGCATTTAGGAAATCAATAATATTTAAAATAAGTGATTTGCATTAATCAGCTAATAAAACAAATTATATGACATAATTACTTAATACAATTATTTAAACATACTGAAGCTCTGCAGTGTATGAAAGTTTTCTGAAAGTTACACACTAAAAATATCATAAAATAAAAATAATATTAAAAGAGAGTGCATATTTTGAATAACGAATACAGTACAAAAAGTCCGAAATCTGGACTCGTCTAGACTTTGCTAATTCCGAATATTAGGTCATCAGTTTAAAACTAGTAAAATGGCATGTAGAAATTATAAAATTAAAAATATGAAATCGTGATTTATGAAATAAAGAGATATTTATGATATAAACGGTATCAAAATTTACAAAAAAAAAGCTTAATACAGTCAAAAGTCGTTAATCCGGACTCGTCGGGACTTCGGCGATTCCGGATTATCGATTTTTCCGGATTACAGATCATCAGTTTAAATCTGGTAAGATGGCATGCAGAAATTATAAAATTAAAAATATGAAACCCTAATTTATGAAATAAAGACCAATTATGATCTAAAGGGTATCAAAATTTACAAAAAGAAAAAAAAAAAAAAAAAAAAAAAGAAAAAGAAAAAAAAAAAGCTTAATATTTATTTGTTTACTTTATTAAACATTTCTTTCAACGTAAGTTGTTTAAGTTGCTTCGTTTTTATGTGATAATACATTCTCTTTAAGTCTATAAACATACCATAATTTCTTGTTCAGTTACAAAGTTCCGCTGTTCAAGTCTTATAATTGCTGTGTCGAGAATACCGACTAATTTGTCGATCGAAATTTTTTCGTTTTCCATAACCTCTGTCACTTTCTTTGCTATCGGAAGCGAATTATAATGACGAGGAATTTGATTTAAATCATATCCCGTTTTGATGTTTAATAACTCATAAAATAATAAAGATAGATTAAAATTAATAACATAAATGGTTAGATAGACTCAAAAAGTTTCATGACCCTTGTCAATGAACTTCCACGTGTGCCCCCTTGGTCACACGGAGAATATCAAGGTGATATTCAATTTCATGCCAGGTTCCGGCAAGCATGTTGGCATCCACAGAGGCTATTGTGGTTGTAATTCTGACTTTTAGGTGATCAATGTTCGACACTCTCCTCCTGTAAATGCTGTCCTTTACAAATTCCCAAACGAAAAAGTCCAGCAGCATTATATCAGGTGATCTGGGTGGCCAAGGAATTGAACCTCTTCGCCCAACCCATCTTCCTGTAAAATGGTCATTCAAAGAATTACAAACGATGGTACCCCAATGAGGTGGTGTAATGTTGTTGCAAAAAGACATGTGGCTGAAGCTCTTCTAGTTGTGGAAATATGAAGTTTCCCAACATTTCTAAGTATACGACTGATGAGACCGTCTTTTCTGTAAAAAAAGAAAGGCCCAATGACTCGGTCGTGCATTAGTCTACACCACACATTAACCTTTGGGGAATCCCTTTGTTCTCACGGTATTCATGGGGGTTTACAGATCCCCATATGCACACATTATGGCAATTAACAATGCCAGAAGGATGAAAGGATGCTTCGTCGGAGAACATTATGCGCTTCAGAAATTCAGCATCATCTTCGATTCTCCTTAATATATCTGTTGCAAAGGCCATCCTCCTAGGCCTATCGTCTGGTTCCAAAACTTGAACAATATGAACTATGCAGTCTTAATTTTTTCTTAATAACCTTGTACTTCCATGTGTTGAGTGGCTAGTGTTGAGTGGCTTAGAGATCATTCATTACACACTCCTCTCTCAAGCATTTCTGATAAGATATGAGGGGAGACGATCGGTCATGGTCATTTTGTTCGCTTTGTGGGTATGGTTGTGAGCCCAATACATTGATGGGCTGTGTTTCCAGCATGTGGACATACTCAGTTGAATACTTTGATTCATGGTGGAGCATGGTTGAGACACTGTGGTTCTATTGGCATCTGTGTCATCATTAGGTTGTGGGGTGGAGCACCTGCCATTTTTGTCATCTGACGTTAGTGAGAGAAAGTGCATAGTTATAAAAGTTATCCATTATTCCTGTGAGATCAGTAATACAGTCAAAAGTCGTTAATCCGGACTCGTCTGGACTTCCGCGATTGCGGATTATTGATTTTTCCAGATTATAGATCATCAGGTTAAATCTTGTAAGATGGCATGCAGAAATTCTAAAATTAAAAATATGAAACCGTAATTTATGAAATAAAGAACAATTATGATCTAAAGGGTATCAAAATTTACAATAAAAAAAAGCTTAATATTTATTTGTTTACTTTATTAAACATTTCTTTCAATGTAAGTTGTTTAAGTTGCTTCGTTTAATGTGATAATACTTTCTCTTTAATTCTATAAACAGACATAATTTCTTGTTCAGTTACAAAGTTCCGCTGTTCAAGTCCCATAATTGCTGTAGAATACCGACTAACTTCTCAATCGAAATTTTTTCGTTTTCACTAACCTCTCTGTCACCTTCTTCATGTCTTTATCCATTTTTTGCAGCAATTCCACTTTTTGTTTGATGGACATCGAAACACACTTTCGTTTTGTAGATCCTTTGGGAGCTCCAGCATCGGAAATTCTATTTGACATAATCGAAAGTTCAAGTTTACTTTTATAAAATTGCTCTTACAATCTGCAAAAAATAATAAGTGATCCGATTCGAAGATTAAGGAACAACGCAATCATCAACATTAACTGAAATAGATAATTAGATAATTTTTAGCTTATACCATCCGTTATACATTAAACGCGCACGCGAAAACGTATTCTGCGCTTGCGCACATGCATATGCGCAGTCGTAAAGGTCTTACACGCACACGTAAACGCCTATGCGCATGTGTCAATGCGGCGCATGCACAGAAAGTTTTTAGCTTTGAGGTCCGGATTATAGATCATTCCAGATTATGGGTGTCCGAATTAACGACTTTTGACTGTATATAAACTTTTCAATTCTTTGGGAAACCTCTACTTTAGAGATGAATTATTCTATCAATAATTGCAGTTTCCTTTTCCTTTTAATTTTCCCTACTATGTTATTTGAATTAGAAAAATATTTACCATCCTCAAAATTACTAAAATTAGAAGAGAAACGTATAAGAGAGATTAAAGTTATAAACATATAACACAGAAAGGTCCCCTTACTATTTCTCCAAAAACATAATATTTTTACCACCAATATTAAATATACCCAGCAAACAGCAATACATGCATGCAAAATATGATTTATAAAAAATAGCATACCCAATTTACCTTTATCTGGATTCTTTTCTTTATCTGAATTTGCAGAATCTTTCAGATCAACTAAATTAAAAAATAATAAATAAACCAGGAAATTTTTTTATACTAGTTGGCAAAAAAAAAAAAAAAAAAAAAAAAAAAAAAAAAACTTTAATATATGATTAAATGTAAATTTTATTAAATATATACTTTATTAAATCATGTTTTACAAAAAGGAAATGCAGCTGCCAATTTTAGGGTTATGAGAGCATAAGAGATATCAGTCTGTTCTAGTTTTTATTCTAAATTCGCTTATTTAATATAATAAAATTAACTTACATGCACAAAAAAGATCTTGTTTACAATTAAAACATGCTAGTCCATCCTTACAAAATATGTTTACCTGATATAAAAATCTTAGAAAAATCCAATGATCTGAGCAATTTTTGCTATGCTTGTTTAATTCAGTGTTTGGCAAAAACTTTATTTAAAAAATGCAGAGGGAATATTTTATTCAATAGGCATGATGAATTTGTTTTCCACATTTGAAAGTTAATACAATATAATTCATCACATATCAAAATGAAATTTATTATATTACTTATAACTGAAAATTACTCTGTCATGCAATTTAGACAGATTTAATGAACTAAATCTTCTGTCTAAATTAACTAAGTAACTGTTTAAATTTTATTTTAAACTATAGAAAAAACTATATTCATATAATGACAACATGTTACCTCTCTTCAGCTTTAATGAAACTTTTACATGGAAGTCCATCTTGGACATCATTATTATCAAAGTGTAACTAAACAACATCCATCTCACTGATATTAACACTAGAAATGTTGACAAATATTTAACAATATTTCTAGTGGGAAGGGGGTTCATTATTCTGGTCATTCTGCTGTTAATAAAATTAGGTTTTAGTAATTTTGATGACAAGATTTGATGATTTTTCCAAGTAATTCTGATGACTAACAAAAAAAGACAAAGAACTCTTTCATTTTATGTACAAAAATAATTACTATGGACTATGCATTTTGAAATATATTTCAACTTTTTACTTAAGGCTATCGATCATTTTCAGTTTAAATTCACTCACATATAAAAGTAAATAATTGTTGGTAATTACTATTAAAATATGTAGCAAACACTTACTTTGATCTACCTGATCTTCAGAACTTTTTTTTTCCTCTACAAAATGATAATAAAAAAAAGAAATGGTATTGATAATATTACATTAAAAATTTAATTTAAATCATTAATTTTAAAGAACAATGCATTTTCAAAAAGCAATAAATTCAAGAAGCTAAAATAAAAGGCCATAACTTTACTTCATAAACATCTAGTTATATCTTTTTTTTTAAAATTATTTAACTAGATTTTGATGACATTATTAATTTTCCCATCTATACATATTAAAATAATAAAATTATAAAAATATTTGTAAGCCCTTTTACTATTAAAATTTCTCCCATGGATAAAAATGTCAGTGTTTGATTATCTTAGCTATTCAACCTCTAATGAACATCTTAGTAATTAACAGAGTAGGAAATCATTAATTGGAATATAAGGATTCAAAAGTTTCCGGACTGACTCTATAACGTAAAAAATATTATGAATTAAACTGCAGAAACATATCTTCCTTCGAAACAAAACCCTTGTGCAACAACACACTTTTGCCAGTGCCTATAAAGTTCATCGAAGCCTGTCTGAAACCCATTTTTGGCCATGTCCTTTAATTCAGCCTGTGATGCATATTTAACTTCATCTGAAATTTGACATCGACAACCCTGAAAGCATCTTGCCAGTTCAGGAAATAGGAAGAAATCACAAAGTGTCAGATCAGGTGAGTAAGGAGGATGAGGCAAAACAGTTGCTTTCATTTTTGCAAGAAAGTCATTGACGAGTAGGGATCAGTGAACAGAAGCTTTGTAATGCAACAGCATGCATGACTGCTCACCCCACATTTTTGGTCTCTTCTTCCGGATCAACTCACGCAAACAACGCAGGATTTCGACGTAGAGTTCTTTTTTTTCACAGTGCATGCTTCGGGAATAAATTCCAGATGCACAATGCCCTGGATATCAAAGAATACCTCTAGCATAACCTTTCCTTTAGAGCGATCTTGGTGGAATTTCTGCTTCCGTGGAGATTTCCATGTTGCCAATGGTCTCTTGGTTTGCGGGTCGTACAAAAAAAAAAAAAAAAAAAAAAAAAAAAAAAAAAAAAAACAGGATTTCTCATCTCCAGTAACAATTCTGCCAAGTAGGGAAGGATCTTTGTCAACAGCCGAGATTAAGTCTAGTGACAATTCCATTCAAATTCCCTTTTGGTCTACATTTAACATGCGAGGAACGACGTGTTGACGCACACTATGATATTAAGATCCTTAGTCAGTATTCGCTGACATGTGACCTCTGATATCCCAACTGATTTTGCTAATTGCCAAATTATTTGCTGCCTGTTCGCATGTACCGCCACAGACACTGTTTTGACGTTTTCTTTGGTGCGCAAAGTCACGGGACAGCCACAGCGTTCGTCATCTTCAGCACTTTCTTTAACTTCTCTGAAACGACGATGGCACTCAAAAGCCTGTGTTCTCGATAACGCTCCACTTCCATACACATGCTTCAACATTTCAAAAGTTTTCATAGCACTCTTTCCCAAGTGAATACAAAATTTTTTATTGATTATCTGCTCAAATGGCGCCATTTCATTCTATCGCTGGTTACTAAATGTACCTGCCTAGAAAAAGCACTGTCGCCGCGAGGTTTCGAGCACGTGATTTGGAACAAACCACTTTTAGAAAAGGAGAAGAAGGTGTTCTCGTAGTTGCACTACTGCAAAAAAATTTTATGTTTTAGACTCAGTCCGGGCACTTTTGAATCCTACAATGTATATTTCAAAATAGTGTCACATACATGCAGTAATTGTTGTTTTGCTGAACAGCATCTGTAGGCTTTATGTTTCATCAGTCATACATTGTTTTCTAATTTTTATCATAAAATTTGAACAGTACATGTAAACCATAAAAGTAGTTCAAACTTTCATCACCTATGGATTGATGTCCTTTTGTGGGGGTGCAGATAATCATTTCCCTTTTTAAATCTATCACAATCACTAAAAATTAAACAGTCCTAACATCCATTACAATTATATTATGCATTATTTCTAAATTACTATTATATCATTTATTATACAAGATGTGACCTTTGCAAATATAATTCTAAATAAAACAAATTACAGAAAACTGGAATTACAAATAAAAAAATATGAATTTATCCTTTACAGATAAGCATTATTTAATACATACCTATGTTTAGTTTTGACTTCTTCTCATATGTTTCTGCAAGTATATCCAATTCAAGATCACTGTCTTCTCGAGTATCAGCAAATTCTTCTTTATCAAACCACCTTTCAACAGTATCATTTACTCTATCTGGTCTTTCCACTAAATCAACAACAAGTGGATTTTTTTCCCCCTCTAATAGGTTTTCAGTTACTTCATTGTCACTCTGTACATCATCATCGCTACACAATATACAAAACAAAACAAACAAAAAAAGGATCAAATATATAAATAGACACAACTTTTATAATTTTTAACCTATGAATTTAACTGATTTAAACAAAAGTATATTAACTGAATATAATATAAGTACTCCTCCCATTTTAAAATTAACTGAAAGCTCAAAAGAGAAATACTTTGCCACATTTGATATCAAAGCTGCATTAGTTTCCTATTTATATGAGAAAATTAATAACATTCTTTAATTCTGGAAAAAAAACTGAAAAATCGCGGAATTTTAGTATTACCTTTCGAATTCAATTTCACTGCTTAAATCATCATCACTGGAATAAATACTTTCTGGGTTGTCAGACTTTTCTTCTACATCATCTAAATTTTCTTTAGCATACCGATTGTATGGCTTAAATGTACTTCGATAACCAGGTTGAAGTATATCATCTGCCTCAGGTTGAGGAGGTTCAAGGCTGAACTCTAGATTGTCTTCATCCTCAATTTTATTTAATTCCTTTAATACAAATATTTTAAATTTTATATTAGTTACAACTGTTATATTAAAACATGGATAAAAAATTAGGAAAATGTTGTACGTAAAACACTCATAATTTTATTGAAAAAAAAGATATAAAATAGAACCAAGTAGTTCCAAAAAAAAAAAAAAAGATACGACAAGGATTTAGTTCATGTAATTAAGGATCAATCTTGCATATTGATTTAAAATTAAGAAATAATAAAATATTAATTATTGGCACAAGTTTATTAAAATAATTTTGCTCTTTATATTAAGTTTGACATACATACTGTAATTTATTTTCTGTATATACCAATTACAAGGAAACTAATAATTTACTCCAGGATTTTGAAAACAATTGTACAATAACTAAGACAAGTGCTGAAAAGAGGTGCAAATAAAAAATCTTTCCAAGTTTTGTATGCACCTGCCAAGCACCCAATATGCGTAACCCGTTGGGAGGCAGCAAACTTTGGCTTCTGCAAATGGTCCTAGGTAGCCTGAATGTTTGAACAGCCAGTCTTCTTCAGTTTATAATATTATGCACAAAATATCATATTAAATAAGTAATTTTCTTAGTTAAAGCTGGAAGCAGAAAGATAATTTAGAATGCTCTTAGAATACGCAAGTTTTGAGGGCTCCAAATTATTACAGTACTTATTGCGCTGTTTATTAAGCTCATTGGTTAATAAACTCAGCTGTTTATTGTGCTTAAATTTCCAGGTACCAAAACAAATACAAGGGCGAGTCAAATGAAAGTGAGCCAATGCGGATATATGACAAACAGTGTACTTTATTTAAAGGTAGTCTCCATGAACATTGAGACATTTATCCCATTGACAAATGAGCCGCGTGATCCCCGTCTCATAAAACTCCTTGGGCTGTCGATTCAAAAAGTCTGTAACCGACTCCTTCACGGCGGCGTCCGACACGAATCTGGACCCTTGAGATGTTTTTTCAGTTTCCCGAAAATGTGAAAGTCGCATGGCGACAAATCTGGGCTGTATGGAGGATGTTGCAGCGTGTCCCACTTGAACTTTGCCAGTCTTAACCACATCAGCGACGTGGGGCGAGCATTGTCGTGTAGCAAGATCACACCCTTCGTCAATCTTCCAGGTCGTTTGTTCTTGATTGCGACACGCAGCCGATCCAGCGTTGCACAATATCGTGAACTATTGATAGTCTCTCCACGTTTAGCAAATTCAATCAATAATGGCCCCTGACGATCGAAAAAAAAGTCAAAAGCACCTTTCCCGAGGAAATGACAGCCTTTGCTTTCTTCGGGGGTGGTGAATTCAAATGTTTCCAGCTTTGCCGGCGTGTTTCAGGTTCGTAGTGGTGGCACCATGATTCGTCTCCGGTCACAATTGCAGACAAGAAGTCGTCACCCTCATTGTGATACCGGATGAGATGAATCAAAGCAGCGCCGAACCTCTCCGTCTTCTGGCGGTCGTTCAAAATCTTGGGCATCCATTGAGCACACAAAAGCCGATAACCGAGATGATCATGAATTATGGTGTGAACCGAACTGTGACTGATGTTCACACGCTCTGCCAGTTCATCGATGCTTATCCTCCATTCTTGTCTAATCAGCTCATCAACCTGTGCAATTGTGTCGGGGGTGATTGCAAGGTGGCTTTGGCCCGGTCTTGGATCGTCTTTGCAACTTTCACGTCCTTCTCTGAACCGTTTGCTCCAACGCTTCACAGTGGCCAATGCAATGCAATGTTCACCGTACACAGCAGTCATACGGCGACTAATTTCATGTTGGGAAACACCTTCAGCTGTCAAAAACCTGACCACACCACGCCGTTCCTCTTTTGGAGCGTCCATTATGTCACGCTACCGTCTTCAACCCAGTGTAAGAGCGCCTTAAAGAACTTTAACCTCACACTTTCGCTCCACTTTCGTAAATGAAGGCTGTCTCTGTGCTACGGGCATGCGCCGCAGATGATGGACCGAACCATTCTTGCTGAGGAGGGGTTGGCTCACTTTCATTTGACTCGCCCTTATACATACTAATCAACAGAAAAACTACCATTTATTAAACCTAGGTCGGCAAAACACCGATTCTTCAGTGTCAGAATATATTTGTTGTACATATCAAAGCTTTCTGTAGTTCATTCATTTAACGCCTTTATCGTTTAGGTATGTAATTTTTCAATAAAATGGTTTTAACTAATATACTCCTATGGTCTGCACCAGTGAGACACTATTTTCAGAGTTCTTTGTTCAAACTGGGCTTCAGAAAAGCAGAATTTTCTTATTTTAAGGTTAACAAAAACATATTTTAAGGTTAACAAAAACAATCTTCTAAAGATACTGTAAATCAGGGAGCGTTCCTTCTCAATCAGAGAGAGTTCTTCTTTTCATTTGAAATAGGGCAGTCAACTCAAAAATATTAAAATAGCTTTACTAATTAAATAACTGTGCAGCACACACAATTCTGACCTCTTGCTAAAATATATTAGTGGGTCTTTCAGCACATACCAACTTCTAACATTCAACCCTAATCTAAGGGTATCTATCATAAATGCTTTGAAATTTTTTTACGGAAAGATATTCATTAAATGATAAATAGAATTGAATTTTGTGAGAAGGCAAGCTCTTTGAAGGAGACAAATAAGTCGGTATCTCTGCTAAAGGCCATGGAAATTATAATCAATGCAGGGGGTATTCTCTTAAATATTTACTGTTAAAAACTGTTTTCAAAAATGACCCTTTTATGTAGAAGAAGCCTCGGAGGAACTACAAACTATAGACATAAGTAAGGGAAGTTATGAAGATTCATTTTTAGAATATGCATCAATTTACAACAATACTGAGACAACATGTATAAAAACTGACAATGAAAGCATTAAAATAACTGCAGAAACTCACAGCAAAAGTGATATAGAAAAAAGTGAAGACGTGACATCATCAATCGAATCTAGAAAAGCACTACGAATTCTTTAACTGAAAGTTGCTGATTGAAAAAGCTATCAGGATTTTATGAAATTGTGAACCATCAAAAAAACTGTTTTTGAATAATATTGTTACAAAATGTCTAGGCGCAGTAAGATGGCTTCCCCGCAAAGCAGTTTTAGGATTGCCATAAAATGGCACGGGAAAGCAGGGTTGCCACATTTGGCGACAAAATTGGCGATGTACCATGGACGGATGGAGAACCTTCTGGAACGAATTCTTACTGGTTTAGCCCAGAATGTTCTTGAACACAAGCCGAAAGCAATATAAACCCTGCTGGTCCGCAGTCAGTCAGTATCGAGAGTGTGTGCCTCGCCTAGAGTGTACATGACTGCATTGTCCAGAGGATGGTTAGTATCATGTTGGTGTCTCGTCTAGCGAGTCAATCCCTGTGGAGTCGATTGAGTTGACAGCTGAGCAGCGAGTGCCGAGTGGGTTGTCGAGTGCACCGAAGGAGTCTCTTAGTGTATCGCAGTTAGTGTATCATCGAGAGACCATGTTGAGCTTCGGGAACGACTGAAGCGAAGAGTCGGGAGCTGTGCTCGTGTGTCGTCGAGTGCATTGCGAGTTGTAGCGTGGAGAGTCTCGAGAGTATGTGGAGTTCCAAGAATGACCAAGCAGAGTCGCGAGCTGTACTCCGGAAAGCAGAGTCGGGTGCTTTTTGCAGGAAGCTGTCTCCACCGTTATTGCCTAACAGTGTGAAGGCTATGTAGCTGATCATGTCAGCGTGTTTATAGTAGTTCATCGACGACTATAAAAACGTGTTTTTGGAGCTGTCCTGACAATACTGGGCAATAAAGTGTGTTTTGATACTTCATCAAGTAGTATTCTAATTATTCATTCCAAATCCTCACAAACCCTGTACGAACTGGTGTCAGAAAAGAAAAGAGCAACAATATGACAACAACACAGGCAGCATAGTTGTTCATCAGAGATAAAACTCACGAATATAATTATAAAAATATTTTTATAAAAAATTTTAAAAACTGCATAAATAGTTTAATTTTAGTATTAATTTTTAATTATTTTTCTGGAAGAATTAATAAATTAATTTGCTTGCTCGAAAAGTTTAAAACTGGTATCACGATTTGTAATAGACAAATAAACTATTAAACTCAGCCGCTTAATAAACTCAAATGGTTTTGGGATGAAAATTATTTTAAAAAGTGCCAAGTACTGTAAATTAAATGAAGAAAATACAAAAGCTGAAAATGTTAAGATCAAGAGTTTCACTGCAGATTTTAGCTCTACAGTAATTCTTTTCACAGGAATAACTTACCACTTTGTTTTTAATTTGAGAAAGCCTGAACAGTTCTCTGTCTTCTTGGATAATAGGCTCATCATCTTTTATTATCATTTTCAAATTTAATCTCTCATTCAATTTCCTACGTTCTTTTAAAATTTTCTTTTTCTTTTTCTTTGCTTCTTGAAGCATTGACAATTCTAGTTCCTCTGCTTCTTTTATGGCATTATCTATCTCTTGCTCTTCTTGTAGATTATCTTTTGCATCATCACTAATGCATTAAAAAGTTTTACTTTTAAACATGTCATTAAATGATCATACTAATATATACCATATAAAAATGCATTAAACATTAATAAATAGTAATGATAATAACTATATTAATTAATATCTGGGAGAACTGAAATAAATTTCAGGTATTTTACAAGAATTTGTCAAATATACAAAAATAATTTTAAACTTTTCAATGTTAACATTACTAAGTATGCACGCATGTAAAATGATTGAAGCAGAATTTTTGGTAAACACGAAATAGCTTTGTTAACTTGATTTATGATCATATTTTTTCCATTCAAAAATGAAGTGATGGATATTCATTTTTAAAAAATATGATGCTAACTGCAACAACTACACAACCAATTTGCCCCCCCCCCCAAAAAAAAAATTTTTTAAACTTTTTTGAATAGAAGTTTTATTTAAAGTCTGGCTTCAAAAACATTTAATTTCAGTTTAAATGTCCTCAACTGTTAAATTTAATAATTTAGAACAACTTCTAAGACAACATTTTATAATTTTTTATCTCTTACAATCAACATTTTGTTCCTAACCATATGGCTACATAAATAATAATTACATACATACATATATATACAGTGGACATTCGTTAATTTGAACTAATCCAAAGGGCCCCGAAAACTAGTATTGGAATTAATGCTAAAAATATCTCATTATTTCGAACTTAATTTCTATCACTTAATTCGAACTAAAAATTTGACCAAAAAAAATTCTTTTTCCTCATTTAAGGGAGAACCAACACGCCGTATTTATTATTTTGTGTGTCAAAATCATCTTCTGCGTAAAGAGGCACATGCATGCATTTCCAGTAAACATTATAAGGTATTTCTCCCGCCTTCTTAGCATGGCCTTTGTGGTGTAATGGTCAGTACATTCGGCGTGTATTTGAGAGGTCCAAAGTTCAAGTCCCGGCAAAGGCAATGCTCATTTTTCATGTTTCCTACATCAAAATAACCTAATATCTCTACAGTGGCGCTCGAACTAAAAAAAAGGTGATGGATGATGATTCTCCACCACCAAGATTTGCGATTGGGTCCCCTATTCCCTAGTTGTCCTTTAACTAAGGCAGCACGTGACATAGCAAAGATGTGACAAACTGGCCTGAGAGACTGCAAACTGGTCGTGGTAACTTTTACGACGTCTTTACAATGTACAGAACATGAAGAATATTTGCCGTTGCATCTTGGCAATTTGTCAAAGCCGCTGAAACGTCATGATATGACCGCTTTTAGACGTGGTCGTTTTAGCATCTTTTACATAGTTCATCAGCGTTACTTTTAGAATGTAAAGAGACTAAATCTGCCCTTTCAAGATTCTGAAGTCTGCATAAGATTTATTTTGCAATGTAATTACTTTATTTCGTCTAAATATATTAATCTAAGGTAGATTCATCTAATGAAATATGAATTTAATAAAAACTTGAATTATTAAATTTAATTAGTACTAAAAATACATGCTAAATAATTGTTTAAAATTTTGTTAAAACAATTAATACTTAAAATATTTTGATAAATATTATAGCAAAATATTAAAATAAAACTTAAAATTTTGTTAAAATAATTAATACTTAAAATATTTTTTATAAATATTATAGCAAAATATTTAAAAATAAAACTTAAAATTTTGTTAAAATAATTAATACTTAAAATATTTTTTATAAATATTATAGCAAAATATTTAAAAATGAAAACTAATCTATAAAGTAAGTTATTAAGTTATGCATTTTATATATTTTAAAAAATCATATTAATCGGTTATCGCATTCTTAATGGCAGGTTAGTGGTCAGACTTTCCACATATGATCGAAAAAATAGTGTTAAAAAAACATTAGCATTACTATGAAAAATCGCAATCTATAATTATGTAATATTTAATTGTGTAATATTAAAACACTAAATATTTTTTATTGATTGCAAATTGCATCTTATTACTTGTCGTTTGGTATCTATGCTTCCAAACACTGTGTAATTTGCACTTTTTTAAATATTGCCGTTATGTATGTCTATCAGATTATTTCAATTAATGAATGTTGGAAATTAAGTTTTATTCTTTATTAAGTTTAAGAATATTCTATTTTCTTCGCTTACATTTTTTGTGCTTGTGATAACAAAGAAATCATAATAAGCAGAGACAAAAAGTTTCGTCGTGTGCTATTTAATGAAGAGCTTATTTTAACATACTTAGCTTAATACTTACATAAATAATTTAAATAATATACTATATTATTTAAATCCTTTCTGTACAGTATCAAAAGGAAAGTTATTGATTATAAAAAGTGCATGAAATGATCATTGTAATCTACCACTATTCTAAAATTAAGAAACTAAAAATATGTAAATACATTTACATATGATCAAAAGAAATAGTATTAAGAAACATTACTAGTAAATACATCAGCATTACTAGTAAATACTGCAATTCATAATTATTGCACTTTTAATTGCTTACTATTTACAAAATACAAATAATTTTTTATTAATTTGAAATTTTAGTTCTATTACCTTCCTTCTGCTATTTATACTTTCAAACACAGCTAGTTCATGTTTTTTCTTAAATAGTGCTGTCATGTATGTTGTTTGTTAGGTTATCATTTCATTTTAGACATGAATATGGGAAGAATTTTTTGGTTATTAGATTTAGGTATATTTTTGTATGAAATATTTTTTATCACATTCATTAACTACTTTATACAGTTTTTCATTTGGATGTCTTGGAGATATCGAAGTTAATGGTTATAGTTTTTACTATGAAATGAAATAAATTTATACTTGAGTTCAGGTAAAATACTGATTATGTTACCTTACACTTCCTAATTTATCATAACAGGCAATTTTCATTGTCTCCGAGATTTAACAGAAATAAATGCTATAATGCCGTTATAATCAGAAATGGTCTTTCCCCCCCCCACATATATAGTTTTACTTTTATTAGTCCAAAGAGGCTTTGTCCCTGAAGGACTATTGTTTTCGTTTTGCGATTTTGCGTCGGACTCATAAACGTCGGTTCACTTTTCAAACTGTAGCCACAAAATGTTAGAGTCCTGCATTATATTTGAAGAAATTAAATAATGAAAAATCTGCATAAACGATTGTCTATTTCTCGCATTGTGATAAAACAATGGTACATAGAGCTATCGAATTTTGAATGACGAAATCCTACTGCGAATATGGGCATCTGAAATCCCAAATTTGGAATTTGTTTTATTATAGATTTTATATTTTGTAAAACTTTAACGAATTTTGATTTACAAACTCCTTTAAAAGCGAGAAATGGCAACGTTATATAGAAAAAAAATACTTTTATCTCCAGCTCGCGAGACTGTGTATATCGGAAATTCTAAAGATATGCTTAATTTAACATTATTTTGCGATATTGCTCTTGAACTGAATTTTATGGTTTAAGTGCAAAGAACATGATATTTAATAAATAAAGATAACACTCAAAACGTTAAAAAAACGCCCCCTTTGGATGTAATTTAAAATCTGAAACATTTCAGATTTTTTTTTTTTTATGTCTGATTTAGTTTTATTTACTTAAAACCTACTATTATTGTTATATATTGATAATAACCACTTTCATAATTACTCTCACTTACATACTAAATGATTAAGGAAAAACAATGATGAAATCTTAAATAATCGTAACTTAGAATTTAAGTTATTTAAAAAAATATAGTTTAAATAATGTTAAATATAGTGCAAATACACTGCTGACCACCCAAATTGCAACACTACGAAAGACAAGAGATATCACAACAAAATTTATTTAGTAGATAACATGTTGACCAAGTATCAAATGATTAAATTTATAGACATCTGTGAAGTGTGGTTCCTTCCAGAATCAATAGCCAGAGTAGCCGCCACTGTTGGAGATCACAGCTGCCATGCGCCTCGGCATTGATTCAAAGAGATTTTGGATGTGTTCTTGAGGTACAGCAGATCAAGCAGCTTCCACACGTTGCCAATGTTGATCTGTTGTGGCTGGCAGCTTGGGATGTAATCTGGGTCAATCGTTCAGCAACCATGGACCGCATGTTTTCTATCGGCAAAAGATCCGGTGAGCGAGCCGGCCAGGGAAGCAATTCAATCTGGCGATTAACGAAGAACCCTTGAACAATGCGTGCCACGTGTGGTCGCGCATTATCCTGTTGAAATATGGCTGTGGGCAAGCCCTGAAGGTAAGGAAAGACAACTGGCTCCAACACATCAGAGATGTAGCACTGGCTGTTTAAAGTACCGGCAATGCATAATAGAGGAGTGCGAGACTGATATCCAATACCGCCCCATACCATAATACCGGTGCAGGACCAGTGTGGCGGTGCATAACGCAGCTGTTCAGCATCCTCTCTCCATGGTGTCTCCAGACTCGAATCCGACCATCATGGTGTTGCAGACAGAAGCGTGACTTGTCAGTAAAGACATTTTCATTCCATTCTGCCATCTACATCCTTCTTTCATCGCAACATTGGCGGCGGAGACGTCTGTGGTTCAGCGTCAAGGGTAGACGAAGCAATGGACGTCTTGCGGACATACCACTCTACTGTAAACGGCGTCGAATGGTATGCGCAGACACTGAAGTCTGGTATTTAAAACATATAACGGAGAAAAACTTATACCTTTAGGATTTACTACAGTTAAGGTAGAATATAAAGGTCAAAATAAAAACTTAAATCTTTACATTGTTAAAGAAAACCTTGATACAATATTTGGTAGAGAACGGCTTTCAGAAATAAATTTAGATTAGTCCTCAATAAAGTCAAATTTCGTCTCTCAAAAGAGGAGTTTAAATAAATTATTGGAACAATATAAAGAGATTTTTGGCAAAATTAGGAGAGATAAAAAAATTTATGAGGTTCAACTTGAATTGAAACCAAATGTTTCACCAAAACTTTGTGGAGCTACGCAAGTACCAAGTGTGTTAAAGGACCGGATAGATGAAGAAATTGATCACTAGGTAAAAGGGGGTATAATTGAAAAG